CGACGGCACCAGGCGGACCTCTCTGGGGAGCGCATTCCATAGATTGGGCGCCACCGCTGAGAAAGCCCTCCTCTGAGTAGCCACCCTCCTAATTTCTCTCACGGAGGGTTCCCGGAGAAGGGCCTCTCCTGCAGATCTCAAGGGGCGGGAGGGCATATACGGACACAAGCGCTCCTTCAAGTAGCCAGGACCCAAGCCGTTTAGGGCTTTATAGGTCATCACCAACACCTGGAATTGGGCCCGGACTTCAATGGGAAGCCAGTGAAGCTGACGGAGAACTGGAGTCATGTGACCATAACGCCCAGTCCCCGTCAGCAGCCTGGCAGCTCTATTTTGCACCAATTGAAGTATCCGGACCGTCTTCAGGGGAAGCCCCACGTAAAGCACGTTACAGAAGTCAAGTTGGGAAGTCACCAACGCGTGTGTCACTGTCGCCAGGCAGTCGTACTCCAGGTAGGGGCGCAGCTGATGGATCAGCCAAAGCTGAAGGAAAGCGCTCCTCGCCACCGCTGTCACCTGAGCTTCCAAAGAAAGCTCCGGGTCGAGGAGCACTCCCAGGCTGCGGACCTTGTCCCTAAGAGGGAGTGCAACCCCATTCAGGACTAGGTTCAATTCACCCTCTCCGAAGCCCGATCCGCCAACCAACAGGACCTCCGTCTTGTCTGGATTGAGCTTCAGTTTGTTGGCCCTCATCCAGCCCATTACCTCGGCCAGGCACCGGTTCAGCACAGCCACTGCCTCACCTGGATTGGTGGAAAACGAGAGGTAGAGCTGGGTGTCATCAGCGTACTGATGATTCCGCAGCCCACACCTCCTGATGACCTCTCCCAGCGGTTTCATGTAGATGTTGAATAGCAAGGGGGACAAAATGAACCCCTGCGGTACTCCATGGCATAGCTGCCATGGCGCAGAGCCATAGTCCCCCAGCACCACCTTCTGGAATCGGCCATTGAGATAAGAGCGGAACCACTGCAAAGCAGTGCCTCCAACCCCCAATCCCACTAGCCTATCCAGAAGGATACCATGGTCGATGGTATCGAAAGCCGCTGAGAGGTCCAGGAGAACCAACAGAGATGCACTCCCTCTGTCCTTCTCCCTGCACAGGTTATCATACAGGGCGACCAAGGCAGATTCAGTACCGTACCCGGGTCTGAAGCCGGACTGAAATGGGTCTAGATAATCAGTTTCATCCAAGAGAGCTTGGAGTTGTCCCGCCACCACCCGCTCCAAAACCTTGCCCAGAAACGGGATGTTGGCCACTGGTCTATAATTAGTGGCCATCTCTGGATCCAGTGACGCCTTCTTCAGGACCGGTCGGACTACTGCCTCCTTTAAGGGGCAGGTACCTGACCCTCCCTCAGAGAGGCGTTAACCACTTCCAAGATCCAGATCCCAATCCTGTGCTTGGCGTTATTTATTAACCAAGATGGGCAAGGGTCCAATAGGCAAGTGGTGGGACGTACTTGTCCAAGCACCTTGTCCACATCATCGGGCCGCAATAACTGAAATTCATCCAATAATTCTGGACCAGACGGCAGCATTGGTGTCTCCCCAGAAACCTCTGATTCACTAGTGGTGTCCAGCTTGTGACGAATCTGAGCGATTTTCTCCCTGAAATGTGTGGCAAGGTTGTCACAGCGGGCCTTTGAGGGTGGAACCAGATCTTTCTTAGGACCTGGACGAACCAGGCCTTGCACCACTCGAAAAAGCTCCGCCGGATGGCATTTTGAGGAGGCAATGGAAGCGGAAAAAAACCTCTTTTTCGCCGCCCTCACCGCCACAGCATAGGCCCGATAATGGGCTCTCAAGTGTGTTCGGTCAGATACATCCCGTGATCTCCTCCACCTACGCTCTAGCCGTCTCCCAGCCTGCTTCATCGCCCGCAATTCAGGTGTATACCAAGGGGAAGAGTGGGCTTTGCCCAGCGGGAGAGGACGCTTAGGAGCGATCGTGTCCACAGCCCTGGTCATCTCCCTGTTCCACAGTTCGTCCAGGGCCTCGACAGGAGCACAAGTCTTGTCAGCCGGAAACTCCCCCAGGGCCTTCAGGAATCCATCCGGATCCATCCGGCTCCGGGGGCGGACCCACACGATCGGGTCCGCACCCTTGCAGAGGCCGCTCTCGAGCGCAAACCTCACCAGGAAGTGATCTGCCCATGGCAGGGGAGTCAGGCATAAGTTCCTCATAAATTTTGAATGATATCCGTGGTGAACCATCCAGGAGGTGAACGGCTGTTTCGCAAATGCAGCTTCCCTACTTGGTTCCTGAGCATTTCTGCGTCCTGCAAGGCCAGATTTTTTATCGTGCTGCATTTTACAGTGGCATTTGTACTTTCATTCATGTTCATCCAAGGCAGACCCTCGATCTTTTGAGATGAATATTGCTGGGGCTGACTGGTACAATCATGGAATAGTAGGGTCGGAAGGGGCCAAGGAGCCATTGGATCTGCCCCCAAACTGGTGTTGGGACACCGGTTGCACCAGGTCACTGTCCAGCTTCTGCATGAATGCCCCCCGTGTGGGAGAGCCCACCTCCTCTCTTGGCAGCTGGCGTCACTGTCCTATTGCTCCGATGGTCAGGAAGTTCTTCCTCGTGTCTGGCCTGCACCTGTGTGCCGTGATCGAAGGTCATCGCTCCGCATCCTGCGCTCCGGGAGGAGGTCTTGCCCTCCTTCCTGAGACAGCCTTTGATGGACCTGCGGAGGGCTACCTGCAGGGCCACCTCGTAGTCTTCTCAAAGCTGAACAGGTCCAGGTGCTGCCATGTTTCGCAGAGCTGCCCTTCCTGGAGAAGGTGGGGCTCAAACATGGGCATCCATTTATTTCTTTAAAGCTTTTATAGACCATCCCATTAACTGGCATCACGGGTTGGTTCACAACAAGCACAGATAAAATAAAAAGGGTACAGCAACCAGGGATCGAATACCAAAACCACAATTAAAACCAATTAACGATTAAAGTAATGGGCAAATAAAAAGGTCCATCATGCAGAGCAAGAGCCCCGCTGCCGAGTCCCCTCTGCGATGCCAGGCCTGCCCGGGTATTGGGCTCCTCCCGGTTCACAGCGCCGTCCAGGGCAACCGGTGCTGCCAATCACATGAACGGAGCTGGGCCAGCAAGGTCGAAGTTCTTTTTCGCTTAGGAATGCAGGAGCTGCGGAGCGAGCAAAGGGCACTCGGGCAGCGGGGTGGCGTGCAGAGATCCACCCGGCTGTCCCAAACCCGCTTCTGCAATGTCTTCCCACAGCTGGGGCACGTCCCGAGGGCTCGCGCAGGGCAGGACTGTGACAAGGGTATGGTTTTCAGATCTGCTGGTGAAACGGGGAGAATTCACTGGCTGGAGAGAAAGACTCTCTGCCAAGTTTAAAAGTCAGGCAGTAGGCATTAAAAGACGCTTGCTCCTGGGGAGGAAAGCTATGGCAAATCTAGACAGCATACTAAAAAGCAGAGACATCACCCTGCCAACAAAAGTGCATACAGTCAAGGCGATGGTTTCCCCAGTTGCAATGTATGGCTGTGAGAGTTTGACCATGAAGGAAGGCTGAGTGCTGAAGAATTGAGACCTTTGGACTGTGGTGCTGGAGGAGACTCCTGCGAGTCCCTTGGACCACAAGGCGATCAAACCTGTCAGTCCTAGGGGAGATCAACCCTGACTGCTCTTTAGAAGGCCAGATGCTGAAGATGAAACTCAAATACTTTGGCCACCTAATGAGAGGGAAGGACTCCCTGGAGAAGAGCCTGATGCTGGGAAGGATTGAGGGCAAAAGAAGGAGGGGACGGCAGAGGATGAGGGGGCTGGATGGGGTCACTGGGGTGGTGGGTGTGGGCTTGGGTGGACTCCGGGGATGGTGGAGGACAGGAAGGCCTGGAGGGGTGTTGTCCATGGGGTTGCGATGGGTCGGATGCAACATTGCTAAACAACAACAACAAGGCATTAACCATGATATTCTATTGTATTTGTGCCGTATCTTATGGTCTGAATTGTTGCAAATCACAGACCTGTGGAACCTCTGCCTCCAAAGGGCCTCAGCATGAGAGGGGCAGCGAGTTTTATTTCTGCTCTGCCACACGGTCAGTGCTTGCTGAGCTGCTGACCACGATTCCTGCTTAGAAAACACCTTTGACAGCAAACTGGACAGTGCAGCAGCAGCTTTCGGGAAAAGAAGGAATCGCTGCTCCAGGCAAGGTTTGTGCAAGGGACCAGCACCGAGGGCGCACAGGCAACCTCCAGGCCTGGCAAGGCTGCAGTGGGAGGGAACGACATCCGTCAAGCTGGTGCTGCATTCACGCGATGCCAAGATTACATGTATATCGAAGAATTCTGAGTGCCTTCAACACAAAAGGGCAACAGACAAAGCTGGAGGGAGTGGGTGGGAAAAGAGGCCGCTTCGGCTTTGGGGTGGTATCAGGAAGGAAGGAAAGATACTTTCTTTCTTTGAGAAGGAGCAGGAAATCGAGAGCATCAGAGTCCAGTGTATGCCAAGTACATCTAGCTCAGTGTTGCCCGCTCTGACGGGCAGTGGCGGTTCTCCCGGGTTTCAGGCAGGCCTTTTTCCTGGAGATGCTCTCAGGAATGGAACCCAGAACCCGGAAGCAGGAGCGCGATCGGCTGAGCCTCCGCCCTGCTCTTGCCATCGCCAGACAGGCTAGCACAGGGGATATTGTCACCATGCGAGTGCTGGTGTGGCCGCACGAGCGCGCACAGGCGGGCAGTCGGCTGGGGCTGTGGCCAGGGGTCATGGGCCAGCCTCAGGCTGGAGGAGGAGCTGCCGGCCGAAGCAGGTTCTGGATGTCAAGCAGCAAGCACCGAGCCGGCCCCTGGAGCGCTGCCCCTCAAGGACCCTCCCTGGGGAGGCCCTGCGTGGCCACACCTGCCCGGGGCAGAAGCCGCGCTCAAGGCGGGAGGCCGCCAAGCAGGAGGAAGCAGTCTTCTCCTCCAGGCTTTCTCACAGGAGCAACCCCCAACCCAAAACACACCCGGGGCCCCGAATGCCAAAGCATACGCGAGGCAGATGAATCTGCCTTCCTCGAATACAGCTCCAGTTCCTCCGGTGACCCTGCTAACTTCGGATTTCTTCAGCGTTTGCAAGAAATGACCTCAGTTCCTGTGACTCTCCCTCATGAGGCACACGCCCCTCGCCTTCCAGCCTGGACCGCAACGCACATCGTGGCAGACAGACCTGCGGCGTACAGAAGCCCTGTGACTTGCCAGTGGCTTGCAAGGACTGCGCTACCTCGGAGAAAATAAACTCCTCACCAGATAAACCTGGCTTTGTTTAAGTAATGCACGCACTAAAAGACACTTCGGTACACCAGCACCGTGTTTGGAAACCAGGCGGTGTTGTGCGCCCGTCTGTAAGCATGCCTGGTGCGTCATAAAATTCCGTGGAGTCGTATGAACTCTAGAGTTACAAATCTTCCGACTGAGGTTATTCAACGGGTGCAGTGATATTCCTGGTGCGGGGACAGCTTGCTAATGTGTCCTGAATTTGTTCCTAATCCTGGAGCCCATGTGCCACCTGCGTCTATTTTGGTTGTCCCGTGGTTCATGCACTTGAAACTGATCTCACCACTTTTGCTCGCACAGGGCCACATATTCCCTCTTCCCCAAGATTTAGCACGCCTGCATGCATTTCTTACAGCGATGTATTTTGAAGTAGAGGCAGTAGATGCTGCTAGACTTCAGGAAAATTCAGTGTGGCTTGCTTGCTCTGAACGACTTATGTTATCCCCAGCCAACAACTGTACTCAGTTTAAATTCATTCTGGCAGATGCTACAGGGTGTGCTGAAAACCACTAATTTATGGAGGCTTGCCTGCCCAAAAGGATGCATATTACATCACTCAGGATGGTCCCCCGGGAGAATGGGCTGAATGATATCTCGTAATGCTCTGGCATTCGTACTGCAGGGAAAGGAGACTCTGTGAACATGGTGTTGGAGTGGAGAGAAAGCAAACACTATTCTGCAAGGATTATCTATGCTCAGTCTCTCACTCAGCTGGTTTTAAAAAAACGATTTCTCTCCCTGAATTTTACCCATTCAAACTGTAGGACCACAAGCCAGTTCATCACATATATTTAAAAACCACACATCGAATAAATCTTCAAGTATGACAGAAAAAGTACGACCGTAACAGATCAGCCTGGGCAGTGCCCAACAAAGCATAAAGGACAACAACTTAAAAGCTGAAGTTGTGGGTCCTCTGAGCAAACCGAGGCAGAAATCACACACACATCCTCAAGTATTTTTGAGGATTGCCTTTGTTCTCACGACCAGGACATCTAGTACACAACATCAAAGACCTAATTGTTGAATGACTTTTTACACTGATTCATTAGTAGCCAATCTGTGCACACCCAACACAACACACAACATACAGAACCCTGCTTACGAACCCGTCGGCCAATTTCAGTGGGTGCAACATGGAACTTGGGAGCTTCAGGTTCAGATCCCATCCAGCGTGCATCTAGCAGTTTTGGCGAGTTTGTCTCAGCCTGCTTGACCTACCTTGCAGGGGTGTTGTGCAAAGTGGGCACGAATGCCCCCTGCGCTGCTCTAAGCGCCTCGAGGAATACAAAACAAAGCCAGAAGCCAGCGGTCGCTCATATCTAAGCAGAATGAAATAGGGAGCAACCCCTTCTGAATTACCTGTTACAGTGTAAATACAGTCATCTCAAAATGACTTCATATTATGCTGACAAATCCGAAGCGCCTTTTTTAATGGTATTTTGCAATCCAGTCGGCTGCCTGCAGCACTTCCTAAAAGACTGCGAAAAGCGCCCCGCTTCCTGAGCCCCCGGGGACACCCCGCGAGTGCCCGGCTCGCCTGGGCAGGAGGCAGAGGGAATTCCCGGCAGATCCTCCTCCGTGGAAGGTGGGCGGGATCCAGGGGGCCGGGGGGGGGGCAGATCTGACCCACGGCTCACCCCTCCTCAAGCTGTGCCTCCCAGACGTGCTGGGCTTCAAGCCCATCGCCCCCTGGCTGAGGATGATGGGCGCTCGAGTCCATCGCACCCGAAGGGCGCCCGGGGAGAACTCTCTCCCCGCCTGCACGCCGCTCACGCCCTTTTCTCCCAGGCCAGGGGAAAGGAAGCCCGGGAGCCGAGACCGGAGAGGCCGGGGCGACGCGGCAGGGGGATCCGGCGAGGGCCAGCGACCCCACGGGAAGGGGGCCGGCGCGGCGCGGCGCGGCGCTTCTGGGGCGCCCGGTGCCGGGGACGAGCCGCGCCAGCGCGGAGCCACTCACGCGTTCGGGTCCCGGGCAGCGCTCACGTCGCTCGGGTGCCTCGCCGGGCCATGCTGCGCGCCGCGGGGCGGGACGCTCGAGCCGCGGCGCCCTCCGTCCTCCTGCGCCCGCGCCGCGCTCGGCTCTGCCCTGCCCTGCCCCGGCAGCGACCGGGCCGGCGGGAGGGC